CCAGGGAATCCTTTTTTCTTTCTTTTTTTTTTATTCTGGGGTTTATTTACCTTCTATGGCTGTCACTGGAGCTGAGAGCCTGCTTTAGCTCTGAGGCCATTGCCTGCTGAAAGCAGGTACCTGGGTTTGTTTAGATTCTATAATTGAAACCCTGTTGCCATCACTGGCCATTCTAAGCTCTGAGGCCGCGCTGGCTGAAAGCAGGTTTCTGGGGTTTGTTTAGGTTCTATAATTGCAACATAGTTGCATCCAGAGCTCAGAGCTGGGCTGCGGCAGGTGGGGAACCTTGGGTTCCTCCTTCACTGGAGCAAGCAAGCAAGCAAGCCTCCTTTGTGCTTCAGCTGCCTGGCTGCCGGCCGCCATCTTGGTTGGCAGTTAATTTGCATATCGTCCTGAATAGCCATTGGGAAGTGTGTCAGAGGTACAGTTAATTACCATGTTTATCTATTATTAGATAGGATAGCATTTTTTGGGTGCAGTCCTTAAGTTTTTCTGTGTACATTATGTCATCTGTGAATAATGAGAGTTTCACTTTATCCTTTTTAATTGGATGCCTTTTATTTCTTTTCCTTGTCTGATTGCTGTGGCTAGGACTTCCAGTACTATGCGTAATAAGATTGGTGAAAGTAGACATCGTGTCTTGTTCCTGTTCTTAGGGTAAATTATATTAGTTTTTGCACATTGAATATGATGTTGGCTGTAGGTTTGTCATAGATAGCCTTCATTATGTTGAGGTATGATCCCTCCATTCCCACTTGCTGTGAGTTTTTATAAAAAATGTGTCTTGGATTTTATCAAATGCTTTTTCTGAATCAATTGATATGATCATGTGATTTTTGTCTTTCAGTTTGTTTATGTGATTTGTGAATATTGTATCAGCCTTGCATCCCTGGAATAAATCTCACTTAGTTCTGGTGTATGATATTTTTAATATATTGATGGATCTGATTTGCTAATATTTTGTTGAGGATTTTAGCACTAGGGTCTGCTTTTCCTAGCCCTGGTTCCTGGATTAGATCAGGCAAAGCCTCAAAGCTTCCTGAGATCTGCCTGTGCTGGCAGTCTGATTTTTATGAGCTGTGACTATTCTCAGGCTATGTTCTACAGGGTGGGGGGAGAGGTCTTCCAACAGGGTGGGGCAACTGACTCCCCCTCAGGCACAACCCACCTGGATAGCAAAGTTATGACCTGGTGAGGGAATGATTCAGCACAGGAAACCAGGGTGGGTGCCCTCTGAGCTACAACCTCAGAGCCCCCAATTCTAGCTTTTGCTCACACAGCTGCAGTCTGCTCTGCCCTCCTTCTGTCAGAGCCCAAGGTGAGTGGCTGCACAGTAAATTCTGTGCATTGGTCCTTTAAAGGGTGCCTGCCTTTCCAGTTGTCTCTTGCTGGCAGACAGTAACTCTGCTGCATTTGTCAGCAGGATGTGGGCACCTTTCTCTATTTTCGTACACTGGGCTGGGCAGCCCATCTTGGCTTTTCAGTCCCCAGAGTTCTCAGTGAGAACCCCCCAAAGCTGAGATATCTCTCTAGAACCTCACCTACTGTCTGTGGAGCCTGGCTAGCCCTTTTTGTGCCTCTGTACTTCCTAACAGTCTCTATGTGGTCTCCATTTTCTGTCTTTGGTTATCAGTGTTCTCTCCAGCTAGTCTTTAGTTGAATTTTCAGGGTGGTTCTTCTGTATTTTAATTGTGTTTCCAGTTTGGTCCTGGGAGAGCGTCAGTGTAGCTTCCACTTATTCCACTGCCATTTTGGAATCCCAACATCAAATAAGTTTTTTTCCTTATGTCATTTCTTTATGTATTCTGTCCATAATTTTTTGTTCTCATAAATGGCAGAGTCTGTACTCCATCATGGCCAGTCTACTGTGCTTGTTTTGAATAATCAGAATTATTTTATTTTACTTTATTTTCCTTTGAAAATTATGTATATATTTTATTGACAGGTAAATTCTTATTTTTAAAATTCATATACAGTTAATACTTATATTTCTATGTAGAACCATAGTTTTATAATTATAGTTTTATAATTATAGCTTTGAATTATTTTTATAAATACCATTTGAATCATTAACTGATCTAATGTTTATGATGTAGCGCCAGTAATGTACATGTTATAGATATTCTCACAGTGGTCTTATTGTGAAGTTGTTGACAAATTAAGTGAATTATATTTGCATTGGGAAGTATTTAGAAACTTTATATATTTTCTTGTTCAAGTGAGCAGTGAAGATTCTGAAGATTCGGATTTTCAGGAATCAGGAGTTAGTGAAGAACTTAGTGAATCTGAAGATGAACAACGGCCCAGAACAAGGTAAATATTAAATTTTATATATAAAATCTTCTACCGTATTTGCCGGCGTATAAGACGACTGGGCGTATAAGACGACCCCCTAACATTTCCACTCAAAATACAGAGTTTGTTATATACTCGCCGTATAAGACTACCCCCTCTTCCGCACACCTTCCACACACCAAATAAAAGGTAAAACAATATCAGATTTGATTTTAACATTTTAATTTATATTCAAATGCTTATGACATGCAGGAAAACTGTCACAAGGCTGTATGTAATCAAACATATACATAAAACAGTGCAAGTTTATTACCGGTAAACATACCGGTAATTCACTAAAGAAAACACACTCTATAGACTGGTACCGTAGATGCTTCTCAGGAACACAGGCAAGCAGCCCACAACCTAGAGGGACTGTCAATGATAGAAGAAAGAT